GGTTTTCTCCCACTGCTAAAGACCCCTACGCGCATGCGAATTATTGAAATAAAATTAAACCAAATGTTAGTCCCGAAATGACCTAGTTTGTGTCAAGTGGACGTTAAACCCTATTTCTCTCTCTCTCTCTCTCTCTCTGTGTTGACCGATAAAGTTCTTCAGGATTTTCTAGAGTTCTTTTCCATTATCAGTGGTGCAGGACATGGCAAGAAACGGTGTCTAGTGATTTGAATGGGACAAAAAAAAAACAATTTTCCATGTACACATTGGCATGCACGTAAAAGACCCCTTGTCAGTTGAAATTAGTCAGCTGTAGCACCACTGTCTGGGCAAAATTTCCCTTTATTGGCCCAGTCAGTGCAGAAAAGTAGGATGTTAAACCCCATTTCATTTCAAACCAGACATTTATATAAAATATATAATAGCAATGATAAACCTCTAAATACCAAATAAAACTGGCAATAAAATTGGGATATTTATGTAGTGGACCATCAAATCTCCCTGCCATATTCTGTCTCGAACAAATGATTGCTAATAATAAATTGACCTGCTAGAATCTGATCTTCTCTACGGCTATTATTAGTCATCTTATTGGTCAATAAAAGAATCAGTAAAATTAAGTCAGCCAATTGAATTCCGATAAACAGTAGCCAAACAGCTACATGTATCAGGTGGTAGGTCCATGACTTGTCTATAACTGTGCCGTAAAATACGAAGGAATTGTAAGGAAAAAGGATTTTATAGCAGAACTTCAAAATGGAGTCTTGGAACACAGCAGACTGCTAATAATAATGAATCTGCTATTATGTTGGTCAATGGTCAATAAAGTGAAGACAGCCAATAATAAAAGCCAGCCAATAATGAACATTGATCTGGCCGTGTTTTGTTGCTAGCGGTAAAAGCAACCAGTACGATCATATCAAACAGCTAGGCCCTGGGTAAACAGGCTCCGGGTAATTAATTTCTTAATCTTGTTGGAAGTCGGAGACAAACATAAATCTCGGCCATTGCCAGATTTACCTATAGACCTCAATGACTGAAGACCAGGGGCCTGTTTCACCAAATTTTAACTAAGATAAAATCCAAATTTTAGTAATTTAATTGGATTGATTTTAGTGCTTAGCCAATCATAAGGCCTGTCATTGAGTCAACTGGCATGGTTTCAAATCCCCGGTTGTACGTGACAAGGAGTTTTCTTCGGGTCCTCCGGTTTCCTCCCACTGCTTAACAGTAACACCCCTACTCACAAGCGAATTATTAAAATAAAATTAAACCATATGTTAGTCCCGAAATGACCCCATTTCTCTCTCTGATCATAAAAATTGAATTGTATATATTAAATCCCCATAAAAAAGAAAAATTGGAATTTGAAATTTGAAAAAAGAGTAGGCAATAGTGCCACTGATCGGACAAAAATCCCCTAATGTCTTATTAACCCAGTCGGGGCAGAAAGGTTGGGACATTAAACCCTATTTTATTTATAATAAATCCCTGTCCAATGTGTCCAGCCATGCCAAGGGTTGACAAACTCATCATTATTAGTAGAATGAATCATTTTGTCTCCTGGCTCCATGGCGATTCGTGAGTATTAGGTTACTTGTAGAGCACGGCACAACATCCTATTGATCTGAATATCAGGCCAACATTAAAACACTTGTTACTCCGACCTTCTACTCGATGTGTCTGCGATTTGTTAGTCTGACCTACAGTACTGGATGTGCCGTTGTTGGGGTATACATGACGAGTCAATTTGTTACTTGTACATGTACTAGACTCTTCTGCAAATGGATTATGCAACTTTAGAAATGAAAAATGAAATTTAACTCCAATATTTGTAAGTTTTTGATTGAACTTGCCGTTGTGGTGTATATGTATACAGTATAAGTGTTCAGTTGTTGCTTGGCTGCAAATGGATTATGCAGCTTTAGAAATGAAAAATGAAATTTATATCCAATTACAGTAAAATGTATTTGTAAGTTTTTGAATATATACATGTGCACTATTGAACTTGCCATGGTGGTGTATAAGTTTTAAGTTGTTAACTTTGCTCGGCTGCAAATGGATTATGCAACTTTAGAAATGGAAAATGAATTTTTACATCCAAATACAGTAGAATATATATTTGTAAGTATTTGAATATACACTATTGATTTTACCGTTTTGGTGTGTACGTGTTCAGTGCTCGTCTGCAACTTTAGAAATGGAAAATTAAGTTTTATGTGCAGTCACAGTAGAATATATTTGTAAGTTTTCAATATACATACAGAGATAATTTATATGGAACCTACAGTCTGTTACATTAGGAAATTGGCTATCATTTCAATACAGAGACAACTAACTGAATTACATATATAATCAGGCTCTAGGACAATTCATCCCCGGACAACTTGTCCTGGAGGACAATTCATCCCAGGACTACTACTAGTCCCCTAGGTCTATTCATCCCCCAGGGATACTTGTCCCTGGACAACTCGTCCGCAAGGACAATTCGTCCCCTAATTCGTCCCCAGACAACAATAATGTTAGTTCCATTATCAAAAACTGAATTAATCTTGACTTTTAATCCTGAATCTCAGTTCTGGTGCTAGTTTTACATCTAGTATTAAATCTAGACCTTAACTTAATGGTTCCTGAAGGACAGAGGAACAGTAAATAATGAATAATTTTTCATAAATATTACATTCTGCTTATGAAATTAGCATGTTTTCATCAGTAGCAAGACAAATACATTAGATTTATCTCAACATTTTGGGGAAGGTAGTGGTCAACTTGCTGCATGAATATTAATAAAGAATGATATTTATATGGAGATTGGATCTCCAACTGTGATAAGACAAGATCTATAAGTATTGTACAAAGTGTAAAAATACCTGAAGTGGACTTAACAAGTGGTTTATGATATTCCCCTGTAGTGAGCTCAAAGTTGACCTAAAAAGCCAATCTATCAGTGTGGATTTACGGGTGACACAAATAAAGTATCATTTTTATTATCCAGTGTAGTATATGGCTTACACTACCATTAGTTAAAATAGCCAATGTCTCAGCATGGACTTACCCAGGACACAAATAAAATTGGTCTTATCCTTTCTATACTAATGCCATTTCCCCAGCACAAACAAATGAACGGATGGTGTATAATGCCATTTATTTATGACTGGTGGGTGAGATGAAATATGATTTTAGCAATATGTATAAAGAAATATTTAACTATAGAAGCTAATCTCTCAGCATGGATTAACTGGTGACATAAATAATCTATCAAATTTATCCAGTGTTGTCAAAGGCTTACTGCTATAGTTGGTATAACGACGACGTTTACAACTGTGTGAAATATTCTCCGTGGGATTAAGATGTACACAATGTAACAGATCAACACAACTGTGAATGTAAACATTTGAACAATTGCGTTTTTTTAGTGATTTTTTTTTTTAAAAAAAAACAAGTTTTTGTCCATGTTTCAGCTCTGTGTTTTTCTGAATATAGATTGTCAGGTTAATAAAGCCTGTATACCTGTATACAGCCATGTTGTATATTTAATAGAAATTGAGTTGCTTGAGGAAAATGTATCCGTATTATGAAAAATAAGCCTTAAATTAAGAAATAAATGTGGGTAGGGTGCAATTTTGGTTGATAGTAGTATCCTCATTGAAACGTTGCAGTTAATAAACCAAGTGAATGTTAACAATAAATGTTATCTTGAATCCTATCCTAATTTGGGGGGTTGGTGGATGGCCGAATGGTTAGCACTCAACTGGTGTGGTTTTGGTTCCCTGGTTGTACTTGACAAGGAGTAGGATCGCCTGTCCAACCTTGTGGGGTTTTTCGTTTCTTCCACTGCTAAAGATCCCTACGCTCAAGCGATGTATTGAAAGAGAATTGAATCATATGTTAATCCCAAAATGACCTAGTTTGTGTCGAGTGGACCTTAAACTCTCTCTCTCTCTCTCTCTTCTATCCTAATTCTGCAATATTCAATGCTGAAACCATTGAATTGTTTCTGACTGAACCAGAATGAAAAACAAAGCAACAGCATGATGTCTAAATTCTTTACATTCCAATATGAACCACTGTGATGAAAACACATTAATTGCTATAGAATGTTATAATCACAATCACTTGATTATCAGGATGGTTTTCATTATACAAATTGAAACACAGCCATTCTTAATGGCCTTTTGTGATAATATATATGTAGACTTGATTGATATGCCGGTATGTAGACTTGATTGATATGACGGTATATGTGAACAATCACTAGACTTGATACAATGTACATAATAAACAATAAATTATTTTGTGGGATATCAACAGATCTAAAAAACAACAACACCAGAAAATATAGATATTATGGCCTTTTGTGGGGATGTGGATTTGATATATATGTTAACGATCATAATATATAACAAACGCTTAATTATAATCCTAATAAGTATAGAAGTTGATTTTACAAATTAAAAACATTTATATGGATATACTGCTTCTGAATTTATTAACATGCTACGTTTTCATACACATACAGATACAATGTATCGTTATCAATTAAAATGATTCCTGTATGTCTATCAAAACGTAGCATGTTTATAAATTCAGAAGTAGTATAAGTGTTTTTAACACTTAATTAATCTGAGAATGCCAACCAATCTGAACAACAACATTCTACATGAAAATACAGATATTATTTAGTCTTCGAGTAATGGATTTTATAATAACCAGATCCCCTTAATTTGTGTCCAATCTGATTCGTAGATTTGTTTGGTGTTTTGACTGTTTAACCCATCATACGAAACTGTACATAGAAAACAAACCAACTTCTGCTATTAAAATATCCCGAAACAATAACTTACATGTAGCCTGTACAATCAGTGATGGGTGTAACATTTTTGTTCAGTCTATTTCAATATTTTTATGTTAAAGAGTTAGATCCTGTAACTAAAAATATGTGCTTTACTTCCGTTGTGCTTGACAATAATTGTAATGTATTTTATTTTTGTATCTTGTAGGATCGTATTGGTTCTGAGTGAGCCGTGAGTGGCCATGACGGAGATAGAGTCGTACAGCAACAATCTGCGATGGGATTCGCAGCCGATGGAAGAGGATTTTGATGCTGGAAATAATTCCTCAAAATTATTTGAACGTTCCAGAATAAAGGCATTAGCAGGTAAGATTTGTCATCCTTTAAGCAGCGTTCCTTATTTGGGCGGCTTTTAGCAATTAAATCACGCAATAAACGCAAAAACATAACATGGAACACGATTACTATTTCAATTAAAGCGACATTTCGTTAAGCAACTTAAAATTCTTTATGTTTAAAGTCACCGAACATCACAAATTTTGAATACAATCTTTTTTGATCATTTCAAAAAATATTTTTGTACACCACATCTAAAACCTCTAATCTATCCAGTTAAGCCAAACACACAGTAAGTGGGCGTGAATCTGTATCATTTGAAGGACACTAGTCAACCATAAGGTCACATTCCTTTCACATACAAGTTATTACCTTCCATAGATGGCTGTAGAAAATAACATGATATCTATTTCTTTCGTTAAAATAACTGAATGTCTTTTTCTTCATACAAAAGGGGGGTGTTGGATGGCCGAATGGTTAGCATGTGCGTGCTGTATCATAAGGTCTGTCATTTTGAGTCAATTGGCATGGTTTAGATTCCCCAGTTGTACGTGACAAGGAGTAGGGTCTCCTGGTCCTCCAGTTTCCTCCTACTGCTAAAGACCCGTACGCACAATTGAATTATTGAAATAAAATTGAACCATATGTTAGTCCTGAACTGACCTAGTTTGTGTCAATTGGATGTTAAACCCCATTTCTCATTCTCTCTTTCTTCATACGAAACATACACGACCTACAAAACGCTCCACTTGAGATAGGACACGAAGCTAGTTAACCGACATTTTAATTCCTAATTTGATTTTAGTCGAAAACACTAAGTAAACGTTGAGAATATTGAGGAGTGTTTATTCAGCTTCCATTTAATGGAATTGAAACTGTTAAAATGACTGGATATCTATTTCTTCTGAAGTTTTTCGCTACTTCTAGTTTTCTATTTTAAATCTGATCAACTTCATTTCATTTTATACACCCAACACGTCTCAAACATCAAATTTCAGCTGACAGGGCTAGAAATTCGTCATTTTTTGGGAGAATCTTAGAGGATTCTCATATATGCAATCCACGCAAATCCTCAGAATCTTAATTAATAATACTGTCTAAAAAACAAAATTGTGTTTATTGTGTTAATCTAAAATACCAAAATACTGTTTTCACTGTAACTCTTCACATCTTGTACCAATTTACCTTGGTAGTGCTTTCAGCACAACTTGCACAAAGCCTGAATTACGCGTTTATTTTCAGAATCAAACGTAAAGTCGTAGATTTCATTTAGTTCCTTACTCCATTTCATAACAGTTTCTTTAGATACAGCTTTAATTTTGCTTCCAGAAGCCATGTCAACGTCCAAAAAATTCAATAAAAGGAATAGAGAGAAAAGTGAAAAAAAAAACCCAATATGATCAATGTGTTTTGCTTGAACTTCAAACATTTTGAAATGAACAAAACAAAACAATTTATGCACAGGTCATTGAGTGACATGACAGATAGATATATCATGTTTGTTTTTTTTAAAACAAAAGCTTTTGTATTATTTTTGACCCAGTGATGTACTAGATATTTCTCTAGCCCTGTTATTAAATGGTAATTTGAGCTAAAAGAGTAACACCCTGTTTATAGCAGTCAAAACAGGAAATGGTGAGAATTAAAATGGAAATAAATATTTTATATTGATGCTAACTTGGTTTTGATTCCTCGGTTGTACGGGACAAAGTAGTAGGGTCGCCCGCCTGTCCAACCTCGTGGCGCCCGCCTGTCCAACCTCGTGGGTTTTCTCATTGTCTTCCGGTTTCCTCCCACTGCTAAAGACCCCTATGCACAAGCAAACTATTGAAATGAAATTGAACCATACATTTGTTCCAAAATGACCTAGTTTGTGTCAAGTGGATGTTAAATCCCATTTCTCTCTCTCTCTCTCCCCCTCTCTCTCTTGATGCTGATTGATCTTTGTTCAATAAAATATAGATATTAGTTTTAAAAAGTTGATTTGAAATCGAGTTTAACATCCTATTTTTCGGCACTAACTAACAAACTTTATATACTATTTTTATGAGACTAAAAAGGACATTTTTGTTGGAATATGAGACTAACAAGGTAATTTTTGTTGGAATACGAGACTAACAAGGTAATTTTGTTGAAATATGAGACTAACAAGGTACTTTTTGTTGGAATACGAGACTAACAAGGTAATTTTGGTTGGAATATGAGACTAACAAGGTAATTTTTGTTGGAATATGAGACTAACAAGGAAATTTTTGTTGGAATATGAGACTAACAAGGTAATTTTTGTTGGAATATGAAACTGACAAAGTAATTTTTGTTGGAATATGAGACATAATACATTTTAAACAAATCAATACACTGATCAATATAGGGGATCACGTGGCTAAGTTGGTAAGACGCTGACTCGTTAGCTTGGAGGTCGGGTGTTCGATCCCTGCATTGGCCAAGAAAGTTCATCCAGATTTTCCAGCGTGGTTTCCCCTTGTCAGTGATGCAGGACGGTGGGCCTGACAAGGACAGCTGTCTAATCGTTCGGATGGGACGAAAAACCGAGGTCCCGTGTACATATTGGCGTGCACATAAAAGATCCCTTGGCATATAAGAGTAGCATGTAGTGCCGCTGCCCGGGCAAAATTTCCCTCATAGCACACTGTATGGCTTATACCCGTCTTCATTAGCCCAGTTTAGGAGCAGAACAGTAGGATGTTAAACACCATTTCATTTCATTTCATTTTCTGATCAATATAATGACTTGTTGCAAATGAAAATATGTCAGGAATTTTAACAACTCGGTGACTCTGTAGTAGGTTTAAAATCAATACTACTTCCTATACATTATGTTAAACATATATGATGCAAGAGCTAAATCTGCTTATTGCAGGTCTTTCTTTAGGCCTCCGGAATCTATAATTTCTCTTATAATATTAATTGGGGGGGGGGGGGATGGCCGAATAGTTAGCATGTGCGCGCTGTATCATAAGGCCTGTCATTGAGTCAACTGGCGTGGTTTCGAATCCTCGTGGGTTTTCTCCAGGTCCTCCGATTTCCTCCCACTGCTAAAGACCACACCGCGCAAGCAAATTATTGAAATAAAATTAAACCGTATGTTAGTCCCGAAATGACCTAGTGTGTGTCGAGTGGGCGTTAAACCCCATTTCTCTCTATCATATTAATCTACAGTCATGAAAAAAAACAAGCAATTTGAAACAATAACAAACGCATAAAACCATTCTCTAAATTATCTTTCTGGTTGACTGTGTCTACCTGACTAGATAAATCTGGTCTATTGTGAGCTGAATTATTCATTAAGTAATTATAACACACAGTCAATAATAGGGCGTGTCTTGTCCATGGAGCTCGGCTTATCGAAATAATAGTGATTGCTAATTATCAAGTTCATGGCTGATGAGGATTGAAGTAGCCCGAATCATTAGCTAAGAATTTTATCGGGGTAAATTCTTTCAGTTTTGTCTGGGAGATTGTCTGGTGAATAGTCAAATTTTTGTAAAGAAAAATTTATGGTAGACGTCATCTGTTGAATATTTTACCATTTATTTGATCGATTTTGACTGGAATTCCGAGGATGTAGAAAACAGAAGAAAAAAATCGTACTTTCTGCGTATACATGTATTGATAATGACTTGATATTCAGCATTCTTCACATTGATTTCCATCTACTTCATTGGTTTTTTGAACGCGGTTCTGCTCAGTTTCACATCTGGCATACACACAAAGACTAAATAAACCTATTCAATTCCATTAAATGGAAGCAGAATAAATACTCTTCAAAATTCTCGAAGTACATTTGTATATTTCCGTCTTTATTAGCCCAGTCGGAGCAGAACAGACCCCCTTTCACTTCACTTCACTCATTTGTATAATTATAGATTTTTCGACTATAATTGTCGATTTAGGACTTAAAATGTCGGTCAACTAACTTCCTGTCTGTTCTCAAGCGGAGCTAACTGTTGACATGCAACCATAGTTTAGTATGGGTATTGAGCAGCAGTGTTTATTTGGTGAAGTACTACCTCAATGTGAATATATATATTTAAAAAATGTTACAATAAAATTTGATGTGATTTTAATCTGCTTTGATTTCTTTGTTTATCCATACCCGAGGATAGAGGGGTTGCTGTTTATTTCCTCCTATCAGTGTAGCTAGGGTGAATTCCTTCAGATTTCACGGAAAACCAAGGTTCAGAGACCCAGTAATAGACATACACTTAAAAAACCCATAAAAGTTGGAATTCGAAATAAGAGTAAGCCGTAGCGCAACAGTCCAGGCAAAATTCACCTCATAGATGTAGCACAATATGGTCTTTGCCTGTCTTCATTAGCATCATAGGTGCAAAAAAATAGAAATGAAATGGGGTTTAACATCCAGAAGAGTAGACGTTAAGCGCCCTGTCATTTCATTACACACAGGTAGCCATTTTGACATTGTCCATATAACTAGCTTGTTACTGTATAATAGAGAGATAATAGATATTTGAAACAGACTAGAGTTGACCGGCTGTTTTATAGTAAGATTATTAGTTGATGAGTCAGCAATAGAGCTGTTTAATATCGACAAACCTCACCTCACTAACAGCTTACCTAGCCTATAACTCAAATAGCTTGTTGTTACCTGAACTAGATAATACACAGGTAATATATAATACATGTACCTGGCTACAATACAAGCTAGATAAAGGCTTTCTCCCTGGTAATCTTACTTACACCTTTCACCTCTTATTAAAAAAAAACGCCTAGCTAATAGTAAATTTATTTATTTTTATTAGCCCACATTTTGTTTGGGAGTATTTTGTCGTCACCCGTTCTGTTGTGTCCTCTTGTTAACAAAAATAACTCATGAAAAATTTATTTTTTCTTAGCCCACATTTCGTTTGGAACATATTTTCGTCACTCTTGTCCATCCATAATTCCTGAAATCACTCTCCAGGGTTTTTTTTCTGGTTGGGGGTGGGGGTGGGTGCTTTGAAATATGTATCGAAGTTCAAAGTCAATCAAAAATTGAAACCCTAGAA